ACCGAGCCATTTGCAAAAGCGTCAACCGATTCGCGAGAGACGATATGCGCCAACTGTTAACCGTTTGCTTTTTCCATTTGCCGCTTTGCTGCAATTTAGTCATTTACCATCGTACTTTGAGTTCGTTGAAAGTGAATTTCCGAGGTACGATGATTTCTTGATGTAAACTTGCGGATTCTCAATTGTTTCTAGTTCAATGGGTTTTCTAGTTAAATTCCGCGTAGGGTAGAACCTGGATTCTCAAGTTTCAATGACTCGTCGGTCCCACCTAGCAGGTTTCCAATTTCTTTTTATCCCGGCGTAGTCTCGTTTTATCCTCACGTAGCCTCTGATCCGAGCATTTCGAATTTTCGTTTCGTTTGATCGTAACACTCGTACAGTCGAGTCCCGGGACCTTTAAAATCTGAACTTGCAACGTTTACGTTTATTTTATTTCCAGCACTTGCTGCCTACAGCTCACAGATTGTTTAATTTCCCTCTGATTATTTGCACATTCAGATCCAAACATCTCTAGTATCCGAGGTTGCGCCATCTTATCATCTTACAGACCTCTCGAAATTTGTCGTTTATTTTGCTTGCAAAGTCCAGAAATTTCTTGGCTCGAGTTTCAGCTTCGTTTTCGCTACGACGTGAAACAAGTTCCTAGCTCGCCTATCCAAATTCTTGCTCAGGATATTAAGTACGAAACAAGGAACGGTTCTCGAATAAATAGTCGCGACTCGATGAGTCCAACCTGCTTCTGGGAAATTTCCGGTCTGTCAGTACGGAAATTCAGTGCGGTGCACTCGCTCATCGATGTTTTCCGCTCGAGCAAATAAACTCGGCCGATTTTCGCGTTTCCTCCCGTTCGCCGATGCCGCTACGTCCACAATTTCAAGCGTGCAGTTTAATTCCGTAAACAGTTTCGTCTCGCGACCCATTAACCCGAAGCGTGCTAATGTATGGTAAATATTTAATAGCAGCTGAAACCGGTAAATAATTTCACGAGAACGAGGTTCGATAGTTGTTGCTTGGCCGCAGCTACCGATGCGGTGGACATCGTTTTCCTCTTTCCACTCTGTTTGTCTCTGGCATTTCTGTTATTTGCACGTTACTCCAAGATATCGTTAATCGATCTGTATTTTTCGATCGCACACCACGATGCAAAGACGAGAAAATAGACGCAGGCTGTTAGGACGGATGCGTATACTATCTTTATACAATTTAATTATATAATTGAATTAATAATCTTTGCTGTTAGAATTCGTTCACGTCCGTCAATTTTATCGAAACAATGCAGAACTTTGGTGATTCTAATTCGATTTTAATTCTACAGGGACTGTAGACCAATTGCAAGACGAAACTGGAGCAAATTGGAAAGCTAAGGAATCGAGTTTGCGATATTCTTCTGCAATTTTCGACAGTGGAAAGTAGCTTCGAAATTAGAATAAGAATTTATCCTTACGGAGCTAATTTAATCGACCGAGTTGTCGCGAGCTGGCCTGTCTTCCAACAAAGTTTCTTCGAGAGATCGTCCCTTAAAGCAGTCGCCGGACTCGCGAGAGTTTCAAACTGACCTTTCGCCACAACGTAATTATAACGTTCGTTCGGTCTTTAGAATGCGATTACACGACGATCGAGGGGAATTTCGTCGGTTGAAAGCCGGTTATAAGCGCGCTTTTGGAAAATGTCAGTCCATTGTGATGCAACGTTCAACCGTCGAATCGAATTTGCATAAAGTTTTCAAAGCTACGTTAGCTGAAATGCAATTTGTATTCCTCGGTTCGGTGGACGAGGAATTAATTCAACGCGGCAGATGCTTCAAGAATAGATCCAACATAGCGATTCTTCCGAGTTAAACGTCGTTCGAGTTGCGGCTTGCGTTGCAAATACAAAGAGGATGGAGGCAGCTCAAATCGCTTCGGATTGAAATCGCGAGTTACCAATAGCTCGAATAATCTTGATGTTTATGTTCTGAAATTTCGGTTTACTTCTATAGAAAAGTCATATTCTCGTCTTGGAATATGCTGTACTTTCGAAGCGTGTCTGACAGAAACTGCAAATGTATTTCGAACAACTCGAGTAGAAGAACAAATTTGAACGAATAAATCCATCGATTCGACTGGATTTCGACTAGATTTAGCGCTGTGACATCTGTGATCGTTATTAACGAGGAAACGGAGTTAACTGGATGTACATATTTCTATTAAAACGCACCGATCTGCTCTAAACTTTGCGAGACTTCGATCTTTATGCAACGAAGGAATTAAGAGTTTACGTAAAGCGACGAAGTTTTACAGGAAGCTTTGCGTAACTAATTGCGACACTTGAGATCGTACATACACAAACGGACCAAGGTTTACAGAATTAAAACAAATCTTTACATAGAACGTCGAGAACTTCTCACAGTTTCGGTCATTTCCGTTTAATTTCGTCTCAACGTGGAAAATGTTGGACAAATTAGCGAAAAGGAAATCGCGTCGATTCGAAGGTGTTCAAAGTTAATCGATAATCATCTGGCGGTATACGTGCGCGCAGGAAATCCACGTCCCGGCAGTTCTCCACCTGAAATAACCGTCGATCCGTGACCTTAACCCTATCCACTTCATCGCGCGCGTGAAATGTCGCCGAACCGTCACGTCGCTTTGATATAGCGCGCAGCCGAGTCTCGGATGTCTGTAAGTCTGCCAAAAGCCGTAGCTTCTATCTATCATCGCACTCTACGCGACGACAATGCCAATAAACGCCACTCGACGCAAGAGTAGGTCAGGATTTCGCAGGACGAGATACGTCGCTCGAGAGTTCGTCGACGCGATCGCGGATCGGTTTCAACGCCTGTTGTCTCGTTAGCCGCGTATCCGCCTCTGGTTTCCCACTGCCGGTCTTAGTTCGATTCCCAGGCTTTCCCTACCCAACGTTTCCGGTTTCGACGTCGACCGTAGATTTTCAGGTTTACTGCGTGTTCTTACGACGGAGCATCGTAGGATTTGGATCATTCGGAGTTTGATGACGAAGGATATTGGGCTTAGGAGGGCTTAGCTGGAAGATGCAAGGAAGAATAAAGATCGCGGACTAGGAGAAGAAATGGGGACGGAACGAATAAAAATAAAAACCATGGAGTATGACGTGACTTGCGGAAATTTAGTTTCGACGATAAGAATATGTCAAGTCGGTGAATAAAATATATTATTTGTTAAATTAGACTCTCGATTTTATTCTTCCGAGATTCAATAAACACAGAGATAAAGCGCTATCCCAGGATCACCATCTTTTACACGCGAGCTTAAAGCTCCGATCTTGAAACCCTCGTCCCTATGTTCTACTCTATTATTACGCTTCTATCGCTCCTCCAAGGAGTCCGTAAATAAAGTAGCTACTAGCATAAAGGCAACCGTAAAAAATTGCACAACTCTTGGTGAGATCTCAAAGAGAGACATTAACACGATCATTCGAGAGACGCGTAATGATCCATTGGACTGACGAATTTTTTCGAAAATTCGCTGTTACATCGGAGGAAAAATATCTTTTTCCTCGAAGTAACATTACCTTCCAGTTCACGTACGCGTTGTCCGAGCAGGCCAGCATAAAGGTAGAGTTTCACGGGTCACGACAACGAAATACGAATGATCCAGCGTAACGAGATACGGGGCCAGATAGTCCACCTTCCATTAGCGGGCCGCCACTCGATGAATAAACCCGCGTTTAATCCAATTCTTTCAAAAGCGAGCGCGCTTTTGTTTGCCAACCCACTTTCGTGGTTTAGCGACACAGTTGTGTATCGTAACATATTGAACGATGAAAAATGCATGTTTCGTTAGGGGGGGAGGACGAACGAGGAAATTGAAGTCTCAAGGTTAATTTTCCAGCTTGGAAAGGAGAGTGTGCCGCGTAATAGAACGGGCATTTGTGGATCAGACGGTGATCTATACGGTGTCTAATCCTTGACGTACCAAGAAAGAACGATCGACGTATTTTCCTTGAGAAGATCTTTTTTAAGAACTCTGCGAATTGTTTTATCGTTGCGTTAATTTGTGTTGCCGTACTTTTTTCGCAAAGACGACTCCCTCGAATTTGGTGATAGCCACGTTACGATTATCGTCGTGGCTTAACCTACAGATACTGAGAGACTTTTCTCCTCTCTATTAACATCTTTTCAACAGGATTAGCAGCACGATGAAAGAAAATATCTTGCGGACTCGTCCCTTTCCTTGTCGCAGCATGAGTCGCCGCGGCGCCATCGGATGGGAGATATTTAACGAAATTAGAGTGTAATAAAACGCCCTCAATTAGAGATGATCCTATTCCATGGATCAGAACCACTTTTGCGCGGTCGCGGGTGCGGTTATGAGAAACTTCCCCGGAAGACTATTCGATAGACGCACGTTCTCCCTCCCCCCTCTCTTTCTCTCCCTCTTCCGTATTTCGCGTGTTTCAACCCCTTGTCTCTCTATTATTTTTCTCTAACGTCCGCCTCCGCTTTAAAACTACTACTTCAACTAGCTGTTTTTCTTCCGTTTCCTTTCTACTTTCATATTTCATCCCATTCATCTTCCTGCTTCTTCCGTTTCTTTCTTCTCTAATCCTACCCGTTCCACCGAGCTTCTTTCGCAAATTTGTCATCCTCCTGATCGTGGTCCAGCTCGGGACGTCCCTACCCTCGATCCGACCTCCGATTCTTCACTCTATCGCCTCTTTCCCCATCTTCCTCCCACCTTTTTCTTATCTTCGGCCAACGTACGGCCGACGCGATCCTTTTATCCTCGTCCACAGGCTGTCCCTTTCTCGTCCCTATCAGTCAGAGCCTCCCTTTCTCTGCTTCTCTTCTCTGTCCCTGTTTCTCGTCTCTCTCGATTCATCGCGATTTCGTCCGGCGTTCTCGTCTCGTTCCAGGCCGGATCGATAGAGCGGAGTCTGCGTCTCCAATCCGCGCGTATATACCCGTGTACTTTATTATCATGCGGTGCACCCGGTATATTCCCCGGATACACGGTACTCCGATGCGAACCGCGCCCGTTTTTCAGCCGGGAACGACAACCCCTCTGACAGAACATGTCGGCCAGCCTGCCGGAAACCACCGCGTCACCGGAAGGATACCGCCACGCGCTGGGGTAACCTGCCTGTCTCGCCATTCCACTCGTTGGATTATAATTAATTATGTTCGATTCGTTGATAATTGGGCCGAGGGGGATTGATTATTCATTTTCCTCTCGTGCTTTAGCGATCTTCATATTTTGATAATTAAGGAAATTCTGATTATTAGCGTTCGTTTTGTACCCTGGAATGTTTAAAATTATTCTTGGAAAATTCTTTCTATACGGATCGACAGAAAGTACTAAAAATTGTATTGCGATTGATTGTAAAATTGTACTGTAATTGTTTCAACGTTCCGTTATTGATATCGTATTACCATGTTCGGTTTAACTAGGGAATTTGCCTGCAACGAAAATCGAGGAAGGGGACAATCTTCGCTAGAAGATGCAACAACAGTTAAATAGCACAGTGAATACCTGCATTAAGTGTACAAAACACTAGATAAATACAGGTATTTCCTTTTGCTAATTCCAGCCAAAGTAGCCCGAGTTTGTTCTACTTTAATTACCAGTGCAATTTTACCTCTAATTAACAAATGTACTATCAACATCTCCATTTGCCATTCCGTCTTTTTTCTAGCAACGTTACGCTACCATGTAACTTTTTATAGGGAAGCCTTTGAAATTCTTGCGGTATTTGACAAATTTTACGCGAGACTGGGAAATCGATTTTGCGTGGAGCGGATCGAGGCAATTCAACATTCCAATTACACGGACTCGGACTTGTCGGCTGACGAAAACTTAATTGCGATCGCTCACCACTGAAACAGGACCAAAGAGCTGCGTGAAATCGTCTGATCGGGGCCAGAGGCTCTGCAGACGTAATTTCACCTCCGTTTTCGATTCTTTCGCACGGAAGTAATAACCTCGTCTCACGGGAGCGTAGCGAACGCGTGATTCCGTGTAAGAAAGTTTCCCTCGGTTCACTTACATAATTTTCTCGTATCCAAATTGATGGATCGGCTTGGCAACTACGATCGGACGAGGACCGAAGTTGCGAATCTTTCGAATTCAAAGTTTCTTGACTCCTGAACTTTGCTTCTCGTTGGCGTTTATTTTTTTATTTTCAATACCCGCGAGCAATGTTTCATAAAAATTCGCGATCTAATCACAACATCTCGTGGATTGTAATCTCCGTCTCCTTTAACATTAGAACTACCATTCATGTATTCATGTATTCAAACTCAAAATAATTTTGCATCCAGGCTACTTATATCAATATCAGTCAAAACGACTGGTATTGGTATAAATGTAAAAGGGTCCTGCAATGTGTTTATCGAAGCCCAATTAACCAATTTCCTCGTTTTGTATAACTTCCCACACGGTTTTAAAATTTTTACTGCGTAGCATTCGATATGATGATATCAGTTATCAGGAAAATCGATCGTTAGATCGCTAGATGCTAACATTAAAAATACCACAGCGGTCGAAATGACTGGTTCTATAATTTTTAAAAATGTGCCAACCCTCGTTTAGGGATGACGGTCCCAAATGGATTAATAATACCAAAAATGTACTACATAACATGGAATTCCTTCTGTAAGAAAGTAATAAATCAATAAATATAAAAAAATTCTATTATTACGTATTTTTTAAAGACCAGTCATTTTAATGACTGTATATAAGTAGCCTTGATACAAAATTATTTTGAGTTTGAATATTTTGAGTTTGGTAGAAATAGCTTCGTGTTAATTATCTGATGTAGTTCTAATGTTAAAATAAAAAGTTGAACAGAAAGATGTTATCTGATATTCCTCAACTACTATTTCATACGTGTACGACTATCTCCCTGCCTTTCGTATTTTCAATTACGTCAGGCTCTATATTATGTTGACCAAACTATAACATTCGTCCTACATTCCGTAGCTTCCTTGATTTCCTCAAGATCTCGTCCGATCAATCAACGGATACTAGGAGCAATCAGAGAAACTGTATGGGCATTCGTGCGCGAATAGATTCCTAGTGAGGCACAATATGCGCACACAGGCCATCGTGCACGCTGACCCAACACGTTTTAACGACGATCGATCCTGTGTATAGATCGCGGCCTGCAGTCGAATATTCGGTTCACCAGAGACACGCTGTGAGATCAATGCTGCTTGTGATTCAGGGACACAATTATTCGAATTAGAGATTGGCCGTGCTGTTTGCGTCAAACATGCTATTAAGTATCCTCGAATGGCGACTCGGCAATCGAGTGATCCATTCGATCGGTATTGTATATAGTCAAACGACTCTGCTAAGGCGTACGAAGCGTTCTAACCGATAGAATAAAATCGATCAAAAACAGATTCGTGGTCCGACCGTAGAATTTTGATAGTAAAATCCATGTTATATATTCCTTAATTGCAATGAAATACGGGCACGTAACTAGAACCGCTTCTATAGCATCACAGGCAATAACTGTGTCGAGAAATTGGTTCGGACGAATGTCATGTGGTCCAGAAAGGGCCATATAACGCGCCAATTCTCTTCAAAGTTATTACTTGTAAAGTTATCGACGTAGTTCTAGCTACGCGTCACTCTGTATCGAGAGTATAGCGATTAGATTTTTAAAATCTTACGTGGAGAGTACTGTCTTTGTATCGGAATTTCGCTTTGATCTCGAAGACTTTCTTCGTTCTTCCACAAAAAGATCTCGATCGGATCGATAAACGTTAAACGTATCGATTCTTACACAGCTTACCGATCGTGGCCAAATTTCCTCGTGATTCTTACTTCTCCTCAACGACGCTTCTCGCTCACCGTTATTCATCTACCGCTTTTTCCATACATATCTCGTCACAACTAAGAAACGTCTTCGCAGTTGCACTAATCATCGATCTTGTCAAAATGATCGAACGAGAAAGCGGTTCGTTAAAGAGGGAAAACGACGGATAGAGAGGAAGTAGTTGACGGAGAAGGAATTAAGGTTCGAACGATCGATCGAGACAAAGTCGATAGAATTAGAAGGATTAATCGATAGAGGACTGTGGGTAGGGGCAGGGGGGTATAGTAATTTATATCGTGCTTGCACCTTAATAATGGCGTCTCCTCGATTTTGCACGACCAATCGATCATCGATAATTGGTTGCCGCTCGATCGACACCGCTCGTCTACCGACGATTAACTTTTTTATTTCTTCCGCGACCGCGTTTCTATTCGAGTTAAACGCTCGAACGGCTTCG